AAGAATATCCCCTACATGCCGTCACCGTACCTTCTTGGAAACTTTGTACTGCTACAGGATTGGGTGCCACCACATGGAATCGAAGGGTGTTGGAAAAACTCTCGCCTACTTAGAAGGGAAGGGCGTTTAGTACCTGAAGAAGATGAAATATTTAAGTATGTCCCCTGACCTAAACCCTCTCAATTACCGGGTTCGGGAGGAGCTCAACAAGGGGGGTCTACAGTGGCCGAGAAATCAACTATCTCGCTGAAGCCAGGTACCGAATCACGGTTGCGTGGCAGAATCTCTCGACGGCGCTCCTCCAGAAGGCTGTGGCGGAGTATCATGATAGTATTTAATATGCTCTTTAATATGGTGGTAGAATTGTCCGATCAGGATTTGATAAAGTGTAACTTATAACGCCTCGAATGTCAAGGAAGAAATGTGACTTTTTTGGCCCCCCTGTAGACGCTTTTCTTGACAGGGTAGACAGGGTAGTCCGGTCTACCGGTACAGAGTTCGCAACTCAAAAATACGTGACAGGGACGCTAGGTAAATGACGAGAGCAATGCGCCTCAACTGCCCCATGGGACGACCAAAGTTCACCATTCCGTATGCTGGGAGTGAGGTGTTGAGGGTGAAGAGCGGAAATCGTCATGATGCAAACTATGAGACCCAGACCATCTTCGCCGTATGTTCGCACATGCTCGGGTCGGTGAAGAGCATTTCAGCGAGGCTTTTCTTCTTTTTATGTCCACACCTTGCCGTTAGTAATAGAGCCACGCAACCAACCCACTGTTTTAGTTGCGGGATATGCCCTCGAATTCGTGACATTCTTTATATTTTTTGTTCACGATTTTTGAGCAAGTGTGAATTCCTCAGATATACATTGCATAATCTTGGGATCTCATATTATGCAATTACCATTAATAATGCAAATGGGAGAAAGTGTTTGTGGGAGTGATATGTGATGTATCAATGAGGTGGTGCAGGACCAGTAGGCCACTTACCAGTGCAATTTCCTGAAGTTGAGTTTTGAATCCAGACCCATCTGGGTCAAGTCAGGCAATTGATTCTTTAGTCTCGCATAGTTGATATCATACTTGACTGAGAGGCGTTCTTCGATTGGCTTAGCAATTGTATAGAGCCACTGGCATTCAATGAACCACGACGATCTCAGTTGTAGGTAAAATTCCTGGCGCATGCTGAAAGGTTGTATGGAAGCGGAGATTTATCCTATTAGCGTCGGGTAGGATGTGTCTCAAAAATGAACACTCTATTCTCCTTGATTCAATCAATTCTTTCAGCGTGCTGAAGAAATCCTTGCTGAGATGGAGTCGAAGAAGCCAAAACCAGACTCTATGATGGACCAGACCTCGGAAACGGTGCAGCAATCATAGTTGAAACAAAGGAACTGTAGGAGAAAAAAATTTCCTTTGTTAGATCTACGTAATTAGGAGTACTGCAATTCCCTTCATTCAACGCACAGCTCCTGGGACCACATTTTTTTTGCAAATGTGATGTTTTGCCTTCCATAACCTTGCCTTCAACAAAACTCTTTACTTGTTTAAATTGACGTTACTCTCAATTCCTACAACTTTCCTTTCATGTAGCACTATTAGAGCTGGGAATCATGCCAAAGTGTACCGTCCTTTTTTTGAAAATTGATGTGTTCGAATTGTGAAAAAAGGGATTGCCCATGTTCGGACATTTTTGCAGGACAGGCCTTTGAACACGTTTTGCATCTTTTCGTACCAGGAACCCATTAAGTGGGTCAGGGTTTCCCATTCCTCAGACCGCCTTTCATTGCGGTTGAGCACTTCTATGCTGGCAACCCTTTCCTGTGACCAACCAGTAGCAGTCGCTCAAGTGCCTGCTCTTTTCTTGAAGGCGACCTTGAAATTGCAGAAAATCGCTGGTTTCAGTCTCGATCTGATGCAGCGCTAGAACGAAGGGATTAAGAGGCGCCCGACTTCACTAACCTGCTTGAAAAATAGCTCTAATTCTCTGCCTTTTTTTGTCTATGAACTTTTGATGCCATCATAAAAGCCATTGTTGTCATGATGGTGTTGTTGTGGTCTTCGCTCCCACTATGTTTTGCATGGAGAACATGATTAATGTTGATGACCTTCACGCCCGACTCTGGCTGGAGTTCAGCCAAGTATTGCATCAGAGATTGCGGCAGGTTTCTCAAATGCTACTTAAACCTCTTCTATAATACAAAATCATGTAAAAGCACATTTTCTCTAGTGATAAAGTTCCTACAACCTACGGTTTTCTATGCTACATTATTTATTGTGTTGTTTTGTTTTGTTTTATGTGTTTGATGAAAGATTGTTGATTCACGGTGTTATATTCCATTGGACTTCCACGTTATACTTTGTTCTTATATGAATACGAAATAGTTATGTCCTAATTGGTAATGTATGTTGTGATTCTTTTAAGCGCCTATAAAGACAGTAAATGAAAAGAACGTAATTTGGCGAGGGGGGGGGGTATTTCGCATTAGCTAACAGCTAAACTCTACAAGAGTTGAAAAGTAGTTTCTGTAAACTTCGACTGGTATCACTTCATGATTTGGCAAGATTTTACAAATCTTCGCATGATGGCTCGACGCGACAATGGGAAACAGCGAAAGCGCAAAATGCCCCCCTCCCCTCCCCTACCCCATCGCCGAACCGCGTGTTCGAAAACCTTGAACTTAGTGACTTCAATTGCATAAATTTTTTGCTCTCGTCTGCGCTGTTTCGTCTAGATTACGCTCCATATCCTTGATCTCACGCTTCCGACCTTTTCATGGGTGACCAATGTCTCATCCGCCACGTAGTTCTTCCCTCAAGTAAGCCTTCCATGATACGCCATATGTTCTTTCGTACCTTTCGAGGCTCTTTCAGCCATTGTCAGCGCTGCCTGTTTGAGCTTCAGGGTTTCGCGACAGGGCCATTGGAAAACTCAAGTAGTCATGTAACCAAAAGCAAAAATGGCTCGGATTAAGGCCAAGCATGAGCGGTGTTCTGCGTTCAGTTCGTGCCTTGGTTACCAATGGATTCTCATTAACAGGGGAAGTATTCAGTAGGTGGTTCTGGTTTGATTTGAGGTGATTCTTTGATTTTCTGCTCAGTCTGATAGTTCACTGAAAGCACACCCTGCGTTCATTTGATGTTCAGACGCTTTCTTGGAGAGATGTGAAGAATGTACTACGTTCGCAGCTCAAAAATACATGAGGGGCGCGGCCAGCTCGCGACAAGGTAACCCCCACTATCCGTGGTAACGCCTACTCTAATTTCTAGAAGTATCGTGGTGGTGCGGTTGTTCCGCTAAGAATTCTTCCCATTTCCAACGTGGAGAATTAGGGGATAAGGAGAAATAGCCGATACAATCAAAAATTCTAACAGGGCGTGCCTTCAAGGAAGCGTTCGTAGTTGGCGAGCGTGGAGAATTCGCAGTTGAGTAGAAACGGAGACGAAGAAAGTTGCTCCATCAACCTCGAAGTAATTTGTAGTTGTAATTGGATCTATGCAGAGAATCCATGTTTCGGAAATATCCAAAGCAAAAGATTGGATGGGAACTCGAAGACCCTATCCACAAGCGAGTCGCCTTCTTCAAATCACTACGTATGCTCCTCTCTGCCGCAGTCCTCCCATTCTCAAAGTATGGACGAAACCTTACTCTTTCTTATTTCTTGTCCTGAACTTACTGCCACCCTTGAACGTTCCTATTCCAAATCCTATTGCTGGTTCCCTCTTCCTATCTCGAGTTCAGCGAAGTTTCACATCTATTTTACTGCACGCTCAAAGGCGCGTCCGTCCGAAATACATACCTATACTTTTTTCGTCGCACAATCTCTCAAAATCGTCGGGTCTCTCAAATCGCCCAATCTTCAGTCGCACAGTATGAACGCAGCCGCAGTGAATCATGGCTGGATGACAAAGAGCTTCTTTCGGTGACTAAACAACATTGGTAGATCGATTATCAAAAAAGCAGTAGACGAAAGAGGTACTTGTTCAGTCACAGGCCCAATCAAAACTAGTTCCTTCTGTTGAGGATAGAATGGTCAATTGTAAAGTGTAATGGCGGCAAAATCCCATTCTGATGGTTGATTTCTTTATGACAAAGATTGTATGCGGCGGTTATTTGTTTGTTGTCTTCCTTTTGCGTTCTTGATTACTAATGACCTTCGCGATGTGAATTCTAATAGCCAAACAAATATGAGTATGGTTACTGCAGTCAGTATTGATTATAAATTACTGTGTGTACCTTTCTCATGCCTAGAAAGGCTCTAGGTTATCACAGGTGTAATTGCCTACTGCTTTCTTGAAAACATGTGTATTGATTACATTGTATGGCGTGACTCTCATAAGTCCACATTACCGCAGAAGTGAATACCAATCCTTCATTTTCTTCTGTTAGCGGCAAAGATGCGCGTTTCATAGTCTTCATTCTCGTGAAGCAGTGGAATTGATACATCCAGTGATTTTTAAACATCATGTCTTCCCTTGCTGTCTGTGATTTTTTTAGTCTATTTCAGCTGTCTCTTGTTTTTTTTTTGCTGAGGGTGTTTTTCTGGAGATTTAAGCTCTGAAG